TAGTCAGAATGGATACCTCCGATTCTCCTCTCATGATAGCAAACGAGACCACGCCTCTGATCCCTCCAAGGCGCTTGAAAAAACCTAAAACGCCTCTTCCAAAACTCCAGATAGGCATACTCATGATGATGCAAATTGCAGAACCCATCGCCTCGACGTCTATATTCCCGTACATCAATCAGGTATAACTTCACAGTGCCATTTTCTCCGACATACGTGTTTGATATCGTTTCGCTCTCAGCTTATCAGAGAACTTGGAATCACTGGAGGGAACGATGCGGCTGTAGGATATTATGCTGGAATCATTGTAAGTGTCGAGATTACAACTTACGAGAACGGTTTGCTTATCATGACCTATCGGATGTGATCGGCAGGAGTCTCTGTTTTATGTCGCGCAGGCACTAACAGTGCTGAAGTGGAGTCGGCTGTCTGACCGCGTCGGGCGTAAGCCGGTCTTACTAGTCGGACTATCAGGATCTTGTATTTCGATACTATGTTTCGGCCTCTCGACGACCTTCTGGAGCCTTGTCATTAGGTATGTCTCAAGCTGAACGAGATACGCAATGCTGAGATAGTTTCTCTAGCCGCTGCATGTGCGGTGTTCTGAATGGCAACGTTGGAGTTATGAAAACCATGATGGCAGAATTGACGGACTCGACAAATATGGCTCAGGGGTTTGCGTTGATCCCGATCGTCTGGAGTATTGGATGCTGCGTTGGGTAAGTGGGACTATTGGCTATGGGGATAGCGAATGATCAAATTCGCACGTCAGTCCTTTAATTGGCGGAACGCTCGCGCGACCGCAAGATCATTGGCCTGCATTATTTGCCAATCCATTTTGGGGAAAATACCCATACTTTCTGCCTTGTGCAGTGGCTGCTTGTCTGTTCGTCGTGGTCATTTTCGCACAGTCACTCTTTTTAGAAGAAGTGGGTCCCATATGCCTGTCTTATCGCACACATCACTCACAATCATCAGACATTATCAACAAAGCGCCGATCAAAGTTGGCATCAACTACGCTCGGCGTTTCAAGCGATGCCGACAGAGAAGCACTTGCTAAAAAATCCATGGCAGATATGCCCTTGCGATCTCTGCTCACACCTAGCATTGTTATCCCAATTGCAAACTACGCCATGCTCGCCTTCCTTGACGTTTCTCTAAGGGCTCTCATGCCTCTGTTCTTGTCGACGCCTGCCTATCTTGGCGGCCTTGGATTTTCTCCTTCTACTATTGGTTCGTGGCTGGCGGTCTTTGGGATAGTGGACGGTATATTTCAAGCATTGTTCTTCGCCAAAATCGTCAATTGGCTCGGTCCCAAGCGTCTATTCTGTGTGTCAGTGTCGTCATTCGCACCAGTCATGGTTATGTTTCCGATAATATCATGGCTTGTCCGCACAAGAGGGGTGGTTGATCATACAATCACATTTTCCTTGCTTGTGCAACTAGTTCTGACAGTCATATGGGATATGGGATTTGGTGCGTGCTGTTATGAAAACATATTGTCATTACAAGTAACCCACTTAATTACAGGGACCGTCTTCTTGTTTATCACAGCCTCTGCCCCTACAAAAAACGTTCTTGGTGCTATTAACGGCCTTGGCCAAACCTCCGCGTCAGTAGCTCGTGCCGTTGGGCCCGCCTTGGCGACTTCGCTCTTTGCTTTGTCAAAGGAACACAATCTTCTCTCAGGAAACGCGGTATACGTCGTCTTGATTTTGATGGCTGGTGCATTGAGATGGCTGGGGTCGCAGTTGCCGGATGAAGTACAAGACAGGGACGAGTGAAAGGTCAGTACCTCTCTCGCGCTTCACCACTTCAGCATGCATGAGTACCCAGAAATTTCAATGGACACGTCAATTCTCACACAGCACATCATGTCACATACTGCGAATGCTACCATTCAAACGCACTTCAACTTGTGCCCATGGTATGTCTTTGAGAGCCTATGTAATACAGTACGATCTAGTCGTGGGGACCCTGTGTCCACCTGCACCGCTAGATTCATGAATGCCCCGGTGAGGCAAGCATCCACCAGTCCGCCGCGCGTTTTAGACATGCAATCTAACGAAGGGGAAGTGAACGCGCGATAGTTAGAACTGAGTAATATGCGAATCGTCTGGACGCGTTCTGACACTTCTACCCTGACGTGCCATGTACAAAACGACTTAAATCCAGTTGTACGGCACCATTAGGTATCACCAGCGTGTTGTGGGCATAGACGGTCGGATGGAAGTGGCCTGGGATCTACAGGAGAAGCCGACCTTCGGGACCTATAAACCATCCCTCCTGTGAGAGAGGCTGGAGTGCAAGAACCTTGGAGAAAGGAGGTTGTAGAAGCAAGAGCATGAGTCAGGGTGGATGAGAAACACGTTAGACGTGCTACGGAGGTCGGTAGTCCAGATCCCACACCCGGATCGATCCATCAGGTGAAGCAGACATAATGGTTTTTCCATCTGGAGAGATTGTGACAGACTGAACAAAGTTAGTGTGCCCTCGGAGAGGGACACCAAATGCCTCGCCGGTATCCGCATCCCATACCCGGATTGCCATGTCCTCTGACCTAGACACGATGCGTCGTGCATCTGGCGAGATTGCAACAGACCGAATGTAGCCGGTACGTCCTCGGAGCGGGGGATATGTCCCACAGCCTAATTGTGCAGTCGGCTGGACCAGACACAATGCAGTAAACACGGAGAGTGTGTCCTCAGAGAGGAAGACCCAGTACCTCGCCAGTATCCGCATTCCATATCCGGTTTGTCTTGTCGTTTAAACATGATGTGAATCCTTTACTACTGGCATCGGGCGAGACCGTACAACGACGGCCTGAATGATGTCAGTGTGCCCTAGGAGAGGTCGACACGATGCGCTGCCACTCTCTGTGTTCCACACCTGGATCGTCTTGTCGACTGAACCACACACGATGCGTAGTCCATCTGGCAAAAATTGGAGAGACGAGACGTAGCCAGTATGCCCCTGGAGAGGTAGGCGCAATGCCTCACTAGTCCTCGCATTCCACACTCGGATCACTCCGTCAGCTGAACCAGATACGATGTGATTCCCAAATGGCCAAATTGCAATCGACAAAATGGGGCTGAGCCACACGTGGAGTGATGCTTCCTTCAGAGGCTAATGTGCCATCAGGAAAAAGCCACCTCACTACATAGTACTACGAGTCCACACCCGTTGTGCCTTCGGCACATGTCTACATTTATTTGTATCAAATCAATAATGTCTTACATCTTACATTTACAAAATACCATATACTTTTGTTTAGTTGTGAGAAAATAGGAAACAGGAAACAGGACCGGCCACGGGATTGCAAGCCAGTGTCCCAGGTAAACTTCAGTCTCACTGTTTGTGTCTTGCTGTTGACTCTTGCCCTTCCCAAAAAATTCTCCTGTTTCCTGTTTCCTATTTTCTGCTTTCCTATCTCCCGTTCTCCCGTTCTCCCGTTCTCCCATTCTCCCATTCTCCCATTCTCCTGTTCTCCTGTTCTCCTGTTCTCCCATCCTCCCGTCCTCCTCCTCCTCCCATCTCCCCATTCACCCCATTTCTCCATTCTCCACCTTCCCATTCCCATGTTTACCCATTGCCCATTTTTCCTATCTTTATATTTTGGCATTTTTCACATTTTCATGTATACACAATTACAGTACATATACATCATTGTTGTTTTCACATTTTTCTATTTCCTTGGTGTTCTTTTTCTATATATTATGGCTGAATCCCTTGTGGCTCAATTTTGGATTGGACAGTATAGTAAGGGACAACAGTTTTTGGAAATTGAAACTCCGATCGACAGAACCATGTGAAATTTCTAAATCGAGGTTTGAGCGAGCTAAGCATTCCCATGTGGCCTTTAGTGAGCTACGCGTCTCCCACACACAGCCACAAAACCAGTCTCCCATTCTTCTTAGATATAGTCAGGGTAGTCCATGTAGCTCAGTAGCTACCTGCCCTCATCAGGACATCACCGAGTTCCTTTTCGGACTTAATTTGTTCCTTACTTACCTTAATTCACACAATAAGGTAAATTCAAGGTCATTTGTTCACACTTAGAATAAGGAGAAAAAGGAGGTCCATCCCCTTAAACCAAGGAGATAAGGGACTTCTCCTTAGAATACTCCGTCAAGGCAAATAAGGTGGTCAAAAATACTATTATTGAGACAGACACAAGGAACAATCAAGGTAAGCTAAGGCAAAAAAAAGGAAGATTAAATTCCACTAAAATAACAAAAAAAAATCAAAAAGGTGTCCAAAAGCACATGATAGCCTGAGCACGAGTAAGTGATGCAATTGAAGCAGGGGTTGAGCATGCATGCTAGTAGTGGCCAACTAATTCCTGTCAAATATTAATGTTAGAGCAAGAAATATAAAAGAAGTACAAAGACACTACAGATGTGGATGCGTGAGCGCAGATTCACAGGCATATGACTGTCACCATCGAGAATATCTTCATCCTGACCCCTGTGGTGCACACACTTCACATAAGGTTGAGATCGCACAATGATTTCCTGCATGCAGTCAAAGAGCAGCTCCTCGATTTATTCTATGTATGTTACGGGAAAGCCCGGCTTTCCAACAGTGCACTTGATAGGGTCAATCCTGTGTCCGCTTCATGGAGCACCGAGACGATGGAAGACTGAATGAAGGCTGTTCATCCAGAATGACTGACTGAAGGTTCAAAGAAGAAGCTAGAGTTGTATATCACAAGTGAAGATCAAGTTAGAAAAATACATGGTCTAACTACAGTGGTATATATAGGTATTGTCCTATGAGTTCAGGGTAGGCTTGGGTAGCCAGAAAGTGTCCTAACTGTTCAATGGTAAGGGTCCAGGGTATGGTACTGGCACAGCGGTAGGTGTCCAAGTCAGATAACACTATCTGTCATGATAAGCGATAGGATAAACAATAGTTGTTACCAGTGTATCGGTAAGGGCGATAAGGGAGAAGCGCGCGGCTTCTATTGATCCTGGTCTAGGTCCAGTCTAGAGCTGTCATGCTCCAACAGCTGTCATGCTGTGGTCTGCAGTTTAGTCACATGCTGGTGATGTCATCTGTCATGTGTTGTGATGCAGTCATGGTGGCAACATTTTGGTGGAGATGATAGGGGTCTGAGGGTCCCTGTCACAATGTATGTGAGTGTGTATGTAAAATAGATATGGGAGAAAGACATATTGTGATATTGCTCATCTTGTTGGTTGCTTGGTTGAGTGTCAATGTGATCTTATGTTTGCCATGGTCCGAAGTGTCTCCCATGATGAGGTCATCACAAGCCAAAGTGAGTGCATGCTTGGCCTGCAAATGTGAGGTCAGTAAGTTTCATAAAGTTTCATAAGGACAGTAGCAAACTTACAGCTGCCATAGTGAGTACAAGCACTGTTTGATGTCCAGGTAGCCCAAAGTTGAGCACCACATGTACTAGGTGGTGCAGAGGGCTTTAATTGAGGCTTTGATGCTACATTTTTCACCCATTTTCCTACTCCTGCTCCCTCTGAAGGAGCCAAGGACCCAGATGTGGCACTACATGTCAGTGAGTGAAAGACATCAAAATAATAAAGCATCAGTTCTAATAGAAGCAACATCATAGTTCAGAATAGGAACTCACATGGAAGTCTTGTGAATTTTCCCATCATCAGGACTTCCAACATGTGTTTCACTCAAAGCAGATACACTGGTGTTAGAAACATTTTGACTGGAGCTGACACCATCTTTAAAGGTGAGCTTTGCTGGGGCATGTTGCGGGCCAAGCCATGTAAAGAGCATTGAAGGGCTGTTGAAAGGACAGTGGGGTGTTGTCTTGGAGTGAAGTAGATGCTGGTAGAAAAGAGGCGAACAAACCAGTAAGCTTTTAATTCAATTCAATTGAACATTCACACACTTACTAGTAGCCTATTTTCTGGTTTGCTCTACTATACTGTGGGTTCCTGGTATCCATCCACACAACTACTCACTGCTCAACATGGCACCAGGCATCAGTAGGCCCGTTTGTCCCTTTCCAAACTGCAACTGCGTCTTCAAAAACAAGTCCGGCCTCACTCAACACACACACAGGAAGCATGCACTACCTCCACAAATTTGGTGAGAAACTGTCTCACTTGCAGGTCCTGGATTTATACCTGCAAGGGAACATTCTCCCACTCCAGCAGGTAAAAATTAAGGCATTAATAATGATTTTCATCACAATGATGCAGCAGACCAGCAGCAGAATCCAGGGTTTGTGCCTGAGGAAGGTACTTGGGTGGATATGGGGCATTTATTCCGCACTTTCCATCTGCACATGACAGGTAAGTGTTTTTAAAGAGTCTTTCTATCATGCTTATATGTTTATTTCACAACTCAGGACTTAAATGCAATGCTAATGGCACATTCATTGACTGGGATGCACCTCCATCACCTCATATGGATGCCCCACCGACTGACTGGACACCTTATAATAATTGGGTGGAATCATGTTAATCAATGATTAATGTGATGCCAAGTCCAAATAAAACTTACTTTACTGTATTTTTTGTTGAAATATAGCAGCTGCCAGTGATGAGTCTGATTGTCTTGCACACTGATTTTTGAGTATTCAACACTTGAGCCAGATAAATAATGTAAATAAACCACAAAATTTTCATTGTGCTCAATAGCTTTGATCTCACTTTTGCGCCTTTGCTGCCTTGAACATCTCTTGGGCCTTAGTAAAATTATCAAATAGTGACTTATATTCCTTGACTGCCTTAGTGATATTTCTAAGTAGTTCTAAGTGCAAAAAGTAACTCAGTGATTTCCTGATGCTCTATATAGCAACTAAGGTGACTATGTTGTACTACATAGTGCTATATCTACCAGGTACTACTGTAGTAGATTGTACTTCATAGGAGTGCTACTACAGACAGCTACCAGGAACTCCAAGCAACTATATAGCACACTGTAGTGAGCCTTTTCAGTGACAAACTCTGTATTATACGAGGCAACTGACATGCATAATATCCTGTATAACACAGGCCAGCAGACCATGGGCTGATGATGAAGATATCCTCGATGTTAACGGATGGGCCGGGAGGGATATTATTACCGATGAATATGGGTGGGCCCATCTAGGTAATATGTAGAGTAGGATGAACATGTATATTATAGACAGGTGGGCTGAAGAGAGATGTATATTATATAGACAGGTGGGCTGATGTAGTGACATTATTATCTAGACAGGTGGGCCAAAGGACCAGTTTATTATATATCATATAGATGGGTGGGCCGATGTAGTGGTATTATTATCCAGATGGGTGGGCCGGAGGAGCAGTTTATTATATATCATATAGATGGGTGGGCCGAGGTAGTAGTATATTGTGTAGATGGGTGGGCCGACTTAGAGGGTATATCATGTAGATGGGTGGGCTGAGGTAATTGTTATCATATAAATGGGTGGGCCGAGAGAGCAATTTATTAGATATTATATAGACGGGTGGGCCGAGGTAGTTGGATATCACATATACAGGTGGGCCCAGATATGTATCATATAGACGTATGGGCCGAGGTAGTAGTATATTATATAGATGGGTGGGCTGAGATGGTTGATATCATATACACAGGTGGGCCCAGAAGAATGAGTGTTATAAACATCAGTGGGCTGAGATAGTTGGATAACATACTAATCAGTGTGCTGATGTAGGCACCAGTACATACCCACTGTATGAGTGCATACACCTATCATCGACCACCAAAATGAGAAACATGAAACCCTGAATACAACATTTCATAAATTAGACGAATCACCAAGTACCTAATACCAAGTACCGAGTTCCAGGGAACGTCTATCGAGTTCTGGGTAACATCTATCGACGTCCGGGTAACTAATATCAAGTTCCGGGTATTTCGTCAATTGAACAAATCACCAAGTATCAAGTACCGAGTTCCGGGCACCGAGTTCTGGGCATGGTGTTCCGGGCATCGAGCACCGAAACACGAAACTAAAATACAACATTTCGTAAATTAAACAACTCACCAAGTACTGAGTACCAAGTTCCAGGCACTGAGTGCCATGAGTGCTGAGTGCTGCGAGTGCTGAGTACCGAGTTCCAGGCACCGAGTTCTGGGCATCAAGCACTGAAACATGAAACTAAAATAAAACATTTCATAAATTGAGCAAATCACCAAGTACCGAGTACTGAGTTCCAGGCACCAAGTGCTGAGTACTGAGTTCTGGGCATTGAGTTCTGGGCATTGAGTACCGAGTGCCGAAACCTGGCACTTGGCACTTGGTACTTGGTGATTTGTTCAATTTATGAAATGTTGTATTTTAGTTTTGTGTTTCAGTGCTCAATGCCCGGAACACCATGCCCAGAGCTCGGTGCCTGGAACTCGGTACTCGGTACTTGGTGATTTGTTCAATTTACGAAATACCCAGAACTCAATATTAGTTACCCGGACGTTGGTATTAGTTACCTGGAACTTGATGATTTCATTCTTTGGGTATGCCGGAGGTACAATGCATTTCAACAACATTTACAGAAATATAACACTACCAAATTATGTAGACATTTCAACCTTGCCCAGATGACCCTCATCACCACCTTCAACTTCAACCTTGACCTCAACATCTATGTCATCAGCAGAATCGTATTCTGGGACAATCAATTTTCAAGGGTGTGGGCTCCATCACTGCCATCAAAAGATCGATGAGAGGAGGGAGTGTGGATTGGGAGGGTGACGTTGTTCCAGTGACAGATTGATCAAGCAACAAAGACATTGCATTTGCTGGAGTAGTGGGAAGGGGAAATGAGGGATGGTGTTCCATGGTTTCACATCGAAGGCTCTCATGGAGCCTGGTGAGGGTATCAATACATCTGCCCTGCTCGGCAACAAGATCCTCGAGAGCCTTGATGTGTCCAGCACTATCATGAATACTCATTGCCATGGAATGGAGGTCCAGCATGGGGACATTGAGAGCCGCACGAGGCATGCGGGCACTCAAAGATGCAATTACTACAAAAGAATAACATAAGATGATGATGAAAAATTCGAAAGACTTACGAGCTGGTGCAGGTGAGGGTGTAGGTGGTGGGGCGGGTGCCTTGACAGCAGTTATTGTCTTGCTGTGACTGCGCGTCTTAGGCGTGGTCACAGCAGACGCACTGGCAGTTCCGGCAGCACCAGCAGCACTGGCACTGGTAGTTCCAGCTGTGGCCACAAGATTAGCTGCAGGTCTGGGCCTTTGGTTGGGAGGTGGACGGACCTTTGGAAGGTGTCCGGGACCTGGCCTTCCGGGTGGTCGACTTACCCCGTGACCATTTCAGTGGACTTCTGAGGGTGACAGAAAAACACTTTACCTTCTTTGTGTTGCAGAAAACACAGGAGAGAAGGCCGTTCCCAGTCCTCTTGTTGAAACAGGTCGTGCAGGGCAACTCCGCATTGTTGCAAGCCCAGCATGGGTTGTTCTGTTTGTTCAGTTAGTTGAAGGATGTGCAATGAATTTTCAAAGTACTCACGAGTCTGGGAATGAGAATGTCATCTGTATCAATGACAGTTGGCACCACGACCGGGGTGACCGCGGGGGTGTTGGACGTTGAGTCCGTGTGCTCAATGACTTCTGGATGGCTTCCGGCAGGGCCATTGATGACAATTGGCGCCACCACTGGGGTGACCACGGGGGGTGTTGGACATTGAGTCCGTGTGCTCGATGACATCTGGATGTCTTCCAGCAATTACCTGATGAAGGTACGGATGATGGGGAGTGATGCAGGCATAAATTAGACATACCTTTGCAGGGCCAAAAGGTGCCTTCTTGGGGATCTGGGGTGAGACTGAGGTGAGATGATAAACTAAGACGACTGGCCCTCCTTGGGCAGCCGGCTGCAAAATAATGAGTGAGAACAAAAAAAAAAAATGGAATGACATACCTTGTCTTCATGTTCATCCTTGGACTCCACAAACTCGGACGACTTCACAACACGAGCTGACTTTGCCCTCTTGTGACTCTTCATCGCAGATTTCAGCGGTTGGGAGGAGAGTCCCAAAATCAGGGGTGATTTCCTCTTCCTACTCCTGTCCACCTCAGGTTCTGGGTCAGCATCTAGCACTTTACCCTTACCCTTATCCTTACGCTTCTCCCGGGACTCGGCAATAGTGCCGGAAGATGGGCTGGCAATGCTGCCAGCAACGATGGGTGGGGAGGGAAGGTCAATGGCGATAGTGTCAGGGGATTTGGGGGCCTCAAGGGGAAGATCAAACGTCTGGTCGCCTAATGCCTCCCAGGCGAAGACCTTGTGGCACCAGCTGTGCTTCTGGAGGCAAGGATCGTTATGGCCGATGCTGTGCCAGTTGGGCCAAACCTGGGGGGACATGTGCCAAACGCGAAGTAACTCCTTGGAGCAGGACAAGACTATGCCCAGAATGCAAGGTGCATCCTCATGGTCCCAGACGGCCTTAGCCTACCCAGACATTAGAGAAAACAAAATGAAAAAAGGAAAAACCACATACCACCAGTTCAGTGACTTGTGCTTTCAGAGCCAAGTGGCTGTTGCCAGGTGGGAGCAGCCGAGCCGTGCGGACAATATCAACAATCTGCCTAGTGATTGCCTTAAGTTCGGCAAAAGAGGTTTCAGCTGGAGTGGACATGTTGAATGATGAGAAAGATGTGTAAATCTTTGAATCAGATGTGAAAATGATGAAGTTTCAGAGAGAAAACAGGCAGTTGAACAACCATGTAAAACTTTGTTGATTTGTTTGGCTTTGTTGGTGATGGTTCAACTTTCAGAAGTTGCTGGACTTCAGTTGAACTTCAAGTACACAATCAATTATTGGTACATCTGTCCCCTCAAACAACATGAATTCACATCCAACAGTCAGATTTAATGATCCTCCGGCGACCAAGTATTATTCAATGGATGTAGATGATTCAACACAGTCCCGGACATCAACAGGTAAGATCTATTTGTACTATGCCTTATCTATGTATTTATCTTACATGCCTTAGATGATTTACCTTGGGCCAGATGATGACATAGAAGATGATTCTGTGTCATCCAGTGGTCCGGATGTGTTGGCTGCAATCCCCGGTATGTTTATCACTTAGATATTACCATGCATGTTCACTAAACTCTTACAGATCAATGACCTCTGGCTCAATATGATAAACCAGTTCAGTACATCGACCTGTACTTGTACCTTGGGCCTGATGAGGATCTGATTGATTGTGATGATGAGCCGAGTCTGCTATGCACGTAGTGAGTCTCCAGTCGCATCTGAAGTTTCCATGTCATGTATGTAAATTCAACTCATT